ATTGTTACCCGTATGATTCTTCATAATACGATGGCTGTGAATACGATGAGCTTTTTTCCCCTTCCCTTTCCCCTTCCGCGTATAAACTTGACCAGTACCTTATCGAGTTCCATAATCTGAATCTTGGGTGGCATGTGTAAAATATTGCTCCTTAGTCCATGCACCACCCTCAAGTTGTGTAGACGAGACCAATGATTGCCCAGCATCACCGCCATCATCCGTTGAGGCACTGCTATCTGTGTTACTGTCATGTCTTTCGATTGAGCGAGTTGTTGAATGTGATTGTCAATGTGTCTCGTCGCTCGACTCGATTCTTTCCAATGATGCAACTAATGTTGCTGCCTTCCCCTTTGCCTTTGCACGCTGGGCGGACGACCGTGACCGTTGGGTGTCTATACTTCCTCGAGCAATTTGACTCGATGTTGTTCAACTCTTGCCACGTTGTAATCGAGGGGGGTTTTCCACCTGTTGGGGTTGTGCTTCTTCTTCTTCTATTGCCTCGGTGATAAAACGTGAAGGACATCGAGGATCTCCCGCCTAATCAAGTAGAGGATCCTCTTGGTTCTTTGCTGCTTTAACCCAATCTAACATTGGCTCTGAATCTTCGTTGTAGAATTGGAGGTCAATGGGGTCGATATCTAGTTCCTCTGGCTCCTTATCCAACTTAGCACATCGCAATCTTAGCCGCATGTTATAATGGACATATACTAGTTTCTCTAACCGTCTACAGGAGAGTTTGTTGCGGACCTTCGTATGAATCAATGAAAACATTGACCAATTACGTTCGCAACCACTAGATGTTGTTGTCTGTGAAAGTACATGAACGACAACCTTCCTTAAATGTGGTGCATCCCCTCCAAATTGTAACCACCACTCGATTGTAAAAAGATATAAATAAGATTTTATTAGCATAACAAATAATTAATATTAAATATAATTGATAATCAATATGTATAACTTTTCCTCACTAGGATCTATAGTGTAACAACACGATACAGCTACAACGTTGGAGAATGAACCAACTGTTTCTCGAAATAATCGACCCTCCATAAGAGCATCGGCTACATCAGTAGTGTTTAGCGAGAGCGAAAATATAACATTTCGTAGTGTCGTTAGGAAATCATTTTACGATTCGAGAGCAAATCGATATTGAATTGCCGGGTTTAGATAATATGTTGTAAGACATAATTTTGTTAGTATGATTTTTTATTATCTAAATAATAATAAATTAAATTATTCTGAATATGAATTTACTTGTATTATGGATATCTTGATCCATATGAACTTCGGTCTGATGATCAATGATTCGTACGTATTGGTCGGCTTTAAAACCAGCTTTGAATGCTCTCCTAACCTCCTCTCTTGTTGAAATCAGCATATATTTAAGATACGGCATCTGTGGACGCTTGTACATATCGACCTTATGGAAGACAATATAAAGTGGTTCCACACCTTTTATGATTTCTGTCGTAGTCTCCCAAAATCTAGAGGAAAAAATAGACTTTTTTATCTTCTTTCCATCACTCAATTTCGAATATCTAGATTCAGACCACTCTTGTGAGATGACCATTGCCTTCAAGCTATGCCTTTTTTTGCTATAATGACTTTAATGCAATAAAATTGGTAGAAAACCGAGTAATTCCATATCGGAGTATCTCACCGTTTACATACTTTTGCATTAAAGCGTGGGCCCAATAATGATTATATATAAACTTTGTAATTGATTGTGCTCGAGCTACATAATTCTTGACTGCATCCAACTCACCAATATCCTTCAGCATTAGATCTATGCAATAAGCTGCACATGGAGTCCAAAATAAAGTTATTCTTTTTTCCATCAATTGCAAATCGACCTTTTTGAAATTCGCTCCATTGTCTGTTATTATTTGGACAACATATTGTGGTCCAATCTCCTCTACTATAGTGTCCATCAAGCTCTCAATGTAGTTTGCATCTTGGATCTTTTCAAAAGCATTAACGGACTTATAAAACACCACTCTTCTGTTGCAATAAATAAGAAAGTTGATGATACTCAATCTTATTGGTCCTGTCCAACTGTCACACATCAGAGTCACCCCATATTCATCTCATTGCCTCTTGAAGGATTTGATCCAATCCTCTAGTTCTGCCACCTCCTTATCTAAGTACACGCCGTAAATCTCCTTCGGTGTTGGAGGTTGGATCCTCATGCCAGACTTTTGAATAGAAGAGACTATGCTATGATAATATGGACCTTGGGCTATGTTGGTTGGAATCCTGTGGAAGTTGAACCATTTTGAGATTGCCTTCCCAATATCTCGTTTTTTTCTTTTGTGTATGCATCGTCAATCCGTGACTGTTTCGTTATTTGTGGGGGATAGGCTTGTGGATCAATATCAACAATATCTTATACAGACCTCTTACTAAAACATCTCATAAAACTACGGAGTCCACCATACCTCATGCTACTAGTTCGGCCTAACTGAGAAGGAGCAAGTTGTTGCCTCATGCTGGTCGACCTTTGGATTCCACTACCACTGTCATGTTCCAATTGTGAGTCGGGTCGTCGATGCCTCATTGCTTCATTGGCCATATATTGATGCTCCGATGATGCACGAATCCTAACTATGAGATCCGGGTCGACTTGATCGTCGCAACCTTCATACTGATCATAAACTAGTTCTTGTGTAGCCATATAATATTCTTCCTCAACTCTTGCCTTCTATTTTAATGTATCTTCCTTTGCTTGTTGTAGCTTGCTTTGAAATAATTTACGAATCTTCGTCGAAACTTTCTTGCATTTTGCAATATCAGGATACCCGCTAGCCAAATGCATTTTCACCCGAGTTATTCCTCCACACTTGCCAATGTAGTCACAATAAATAAATTGCCAATGATGACGATTCTCATCTATCTTTCGGACATGAACCCATGCATCATCATGTGGCTATTACTTTGGTATCATAATCCTACCAAATTTAAATCAAATAGACTATAAAGTATAAACATATTAAATTGACCAAATATCGATAAAAAATAACTAATCACAATATTAAATAACTTTAATAAAACATAATTAAACCTATTTTATCATCGTATATATATATCAAACACATAAAAAAATATTAAATATATAAATTTGATCCAATATAATTCAAATTATGATAAAATTATCATTAGATACACTAATTACATGATTAACATAGTTAATTTTTTACTAATTACTTCTCTTTTAACACTGTAAACATGGCAAACACCCTAATAAGTATTAAACACATTGAATTGACATAAAATCGAACAAATTTTGATTAAATCACCATTAAAATAACTAATCGTAACATTAAATAACTTTAATAAAACCTAATTAAACCTATTTTACCATCATATACATGTCAAACAGATAAAAGAAATATTAAATATATAATTTTGATCCAATATTATTCAAATTATGATAAAATCATCATACACTAATTATAATATTAACATAGTTAAATTTTCACTTTCAACACTATAAACATGATAAACACCCTAATAGATATTAATCATATTGAATTAATATAAAATCGAACAAATTTCGATTAAATCATAATTAAAATGACTAATCACGATATTAAATAATTTTAATAAAACCTAATTAAACTTATTTTACCATCATATATATGTCAAATACATAAAAGAAACATTAAATATGTAATTTTAATCCAATATGATTTAAATTATGATAAAATCATCATTAGATATACTAATTACATGATTAACATAGTTAATTTTTCATTAATTACTTTTTTTTCAATACTATAAATATGTCAAACACCCTAATATGTATTAAACACATTGAATTGACATAAAATCGAACAAATTTCGATTAAATCATCATTAAAATAACTAATCACAACATTAAATAATTTTAATAAAACATAATTAAACCTAATTAAACATATTTTACCATCATATATATGTCAAACACATAAAAGAAATATTAAATATATCATTTTGATCCGATTCAAATTATGATAAAATCATCATTACATATACTGATTACAAGATTAACATAATTAATTTTCTACTAATTACTTCTTTTTCAACATTATAAGTATGACAAACATCCTAATAGTTATTAAACATATTGAATTAACATATAATCGAATGAATTTTGATTAAATCATCATTAAAATGATAAATCGTAATATCATAAATATTTTTCAATATTTAATATACATGAAACACACTAATCATAATATTAAAGATTTTAATTACTCTCTAATTAAAGAAAGAGAATACATATCTCTTGATTAAAAAATTCTTCCTCTTAATCTTCCCAAACCTTTTGAATTCACAAATCGTTGTTTTGTAGAATTTAAAAGAAAAAAAAGAGTTTGAGATAGTTTAAAAAAGCATGAGAATCTAATGGTCTGAAATATGAAAAAAAAAGATTTAAATACTAAGAGAAAGGGCTCTAACGAGGCTCTAACGATTAATTTGACCGTTGGAGCACTATAGCACTGTTACAGTGCAATAACGAATGATTTCGACCGTTACTGCACGATATTACCCCCTATTGTCCGATACAAGACGCTTTTAAACGTTCCGTCTAATTACGAACGATCCATGTACCGACATACCGTCGGACCGATACGTACCACCCGTATCGAACGGTATCAGTCAGTATTGCCTATCTTGGTCATGATAACTCAGAAGTCATCTAAGCAAGAACATGATAAAACATAGATCAAAGTGATGAAACTATCACTCATCAACAAGAAAACTGGCATTCTTATCAAGTAAAATTGATAAGACTTCTAGTCTCCCTAAAGATACAATAATCAGGGGGATTATATCAGACCTACTCATGATTCTTTGACCTAAACCTTTACAATAAGGCATAAGCATCATATTGCAAGATGTGCTCTCTATTTCAGTTCAGACTTCCCTTGAACTCAAATAATGGAACGTAGAATTTGGGGAATGCCGCTTGCAAACAGTGCAAGCTAAACAATTCTACACTGTACATAGGACACGAGTGAAACAAAAAGGGTTAATTTCATTTCATGCGGGGGAGCCACCAAACATGCACCTTCTAATGGAAACTGCAATCTCCCCCACCTCGTGTGGGTGGAGGAGGATGATACATGCTGCTAAACACAAAACAACGCTAACTATTACAAACAAAGGAAAGCGAGTCCTCGTGATCTTGTTTGAGAAAAGATCGTCAAAAGCACATTTCTTGCCCAGATTATGGTGACAGTGCTGCCTGTGGGAGATCTCTTCGTTCACAAGCAGAACATTTACATCATGCTCCACAGCCGGCTGAAATGAGTCTAAGAATAAGCAATCTTTAATTGCTTCATTTCCCTGCAATATGATTTGTCAGACACTTTTTCTTAGCTACTGTATGGATAATGGTTATTGAAAAGAATGCAATTTTCCAGTAATCTTCAATAGCATTTCCCTGATTCTTTACTAATTTATCTAGTATTACCAACACTATGTCCTACGAATCGATATTCTCATGCAAAATTGCTAACAAACCTAGTTTCACTCGTTAGATATTCTTGGGTGCGACGTACAGAGCCGAAAACAGTCTCTGCAGGTTCAGCATGCCCCACAGTTTACATGCTTCTAAAAATAGGAGAGCAGGTAACATGGAATTTGAACCCATAAATTTTAACATACTAAAGTTAAAAAAGATATAGATGTTACCTATAGATCATTGACACAAGCAGAAGCAAAAGTTGGCTTTTCTAGTTTGTCCAAGAATTCTACTCAATTTTTGGTTACTTGAAAAGCCTTTTATATTTAAAGTTTGAACATTTTTGCCTTCAAAGATGAAGAATCTTTAAGGGTGTTTGTCAAGCAAATATCCTACACAAAGGGATAAATTATCATGTGTTACATGACTACAAGATGAGAATATTTAAAGAATCAGGGAACAGCATATATTTTAATCAGTATTGCTGTATGATCAAGGGACATCAGCATAATCTGAGCATAAAAATGCCAAGATTCTTCATCTGATGTCTTGTAAACCTAACAATGTCAGAGCTAGACACATAAGGATCTGAAAAGGCATAGATTTTAGACAAAGCTAAACTGGAAGAAACAACATTAGGTGAGTGCAGACACATACAATTACTCCATGTGCTCATTTTATTGAACATTCAGGAGGAGCAAATTTCATATTAGGCCCATTCAAATGTTTCACATTCATATGAATGAATTGCAAGAGCATCAAAAAGGTCAATCTAGTAAAGAAGATCAATCCTGATAATTAATTTGACTGCCTATTATTTGCACAAATGGCTCAAACCATGGAACTCCATTTTGCCCAGACCAGTTTGTTCGAGCCTGTTTTTATCAGTTTGTGCATGAACTGGGACAAGGACTGCCCCTTTTCAGACAGTCCAATCTGGTTTATTTTTTTAAATGCTGCTTAGGCATTTAGGCCTTAGGGTTTGCATGCAACACGTGGGGCGGGTCTGCCACCTGTGATGGTGCCCACCCGCTGCTCTCCTTTGTCTTATCACCTGTCAACTCATGAGTGTCCTGGTTCTTCTCCTCCCTCCTCTTCGTGTCATGGTATATATACCGATAACACCAAGGATCCATATGCCGGCATGGACTGGATCTGTACGGCTACATGAGTCTAGTATCCGAAACTGCATCGTTGGTTCAGACAATGAAAAATTTTCCAAATAATAAAAGGCCATCTGGCTTTAGAAAACTAAACTAGAAATTTTTTGGAATTGTTGCTTTTGACTTTGTCCTTACGAGATAGGAAAGAGAAATCAATCAATTAATTAGATGTTTATGCATGATCTGCAAAGGAACCATTATCTTTGTATAGGCAACAGATTACCTATACATTATCTAAACAGTTAGCATAGCTGTAACTAGATTTGTTTCACATAAATGCATTTTAATCTATTTTAATAACTGCCAATGTTAATCATGATTTAGCATTATTTACTTGCAATGAACAATAATAGAATCAAGATACCACGTAAAGCATACAGAAAACATTCAACTAAAATCTTGGAACTAAGACATAATTCTCAGAATAACACAAATAAAAAGCAAACATCATAACTTACTTGCTTTGTATAAATCTCCCCACACATATTACTCTGAGAGCTTTGTGGCATAAGTCCACAGATTGGATTTCTCATTTCTGCTTCTGATCTCATGTCATGTGTTCTCTCATAAAGAATCTCTCTTGCATGGCTAAGGTACTCATGAAATAGCTTTTGGTCAACATCAGTCCATTTGTCTAGCTTATCAAAGCCATCGACATCAACAATACTATCCAGATGATGCATTATTACTTGAAGAACACTAAAAAGCTCATTCTGGAGTAAGAATTTTAGCAAAGAAGTTAATCTCTGGACGTTTGTTAGACTCCGAAAAGCTTCCTTATCTTCCAAATGAGGTGCCTTCATTAACCATGCAATGTCCAAGAGAAGTGCTGACATCACAGATTGCCTGGATGCAAAAAAGTCACATGAGCCTGGAGAGGAATCAGTAATCGCATTTTGGGATATAATGCTACTGGCATAGCAGTCAGCAAAAACCCCTTCCATCCTCTCAAATTCGGAACATATCTGTTTGTTACCAACAAGGACAGGGATAAAGTTGGATATTCCAGACACATTTTCAACCTACAAAAGTAGATGGAATGGTAATGCTGCAGGGATAATTTTTTAATCAAGTAAAATGATTTTGATATTATACCAACTAGAATAAGATGAAAATATACAATCTTTTCTCAATCATCAGCAACTTAAAATTGTTGACTGAACAGATTCGACAATATCACATAGGTTTGTTTGGTAGGCAATTTCTACCTAGGTATACAATTTCGAATAATACCGTCCGATACGGGCAGTACATACCGGTCCGTCAGCTTACCGGTACACGGACCGCCTATTACCGGACTGAACGATATATATATATATATATATATATATATATATATGAGGCGGAGAAGGAAAAGGCGACGTCGCCTTTTATAAAAATATTTTATATAAATATAAATATAAATATATAAACGAGGTGACGTCACCTTTTATATATAAATATATATTTATTAATTTATATATATATATAAACAAGAAGACGTCGTGTGTATATATATATATATATATATATATATATATATATCGCTCGGTATACAGTTTTGTACCATACCGAGCGAACGTCGAAACTCCGGTACGGTATGAAATTACATACCTTGATTTTCACATCATATAGAAATATAAGATGATAACATTTGAAATTAAAAACAAGAAACAAAAGGGAAGACCATAGTTAGAGAGATAATAATAACTAATGAATCGATCAAATTCTGCTAGATAATGGCAATCATTAAATTAAGTCAATTTATTAAAGAACAAATATAGAACATAATTTTTCAGTCTGCAAACTTCATTAAGCAAACTCACCTCAATAAATGCAGGACCAAAAATTTCAGAGTCCATGTGAGTTACTTTTATCATGAACATCTCATGTTCAGAACTTTCGATGCACTCCACCTCATTTCCATCATAAGACCTGGACTTTCGAGTAGATGTAACACGCATAGAGTCATGTTTTAGGTACTTTCCGGCAAATGATACCAGAAACCTGCCACAATAAACATTCATGATAAGGCTAGCTACTCTCTCTCCAAGACACAAAATATTCTGCTGACTACACTTAAATCTCTACACATATAATGGCAGAACATGAGGGTATGTCACACAGCAACTGAGGTTGTATCCTATAGCTATCTAAGCCAAGCAATCCTTGGGAAAATTCTGATATGCAACCCAGAGTCACTCTTGTGGAGATTTTTCTTCCCTGCCATGCATATAGTGTACAGCAGGAACAATTTGAGTTCCAATGAAGTCAGGTTACAGAACAGGTGGAGAATATTATGTATTTAAGTAAAAAGTATTCAAACTGAAATTTTACATGATTTGAGATGCATGTCCAAATGTGAATACAAAAAATAGACATACAGTCACACACTATACTTATATATGCCTTATAACAAAGTCAAGCAGAAGCAAACATTAGATATATTGATTGCAGAGGATCTCAAGCATAAAGAAACCTTAGTATTGCAAAAAAAAAAATTACTACAACCATGATAATCTGAAATAGTTATAGGAAAACTGGAAATAGAAATAGATTACCGAAACTTGGATTGTTCAAGATTGCTGCCACATGCAACAAACTCCATAGGTTTGCCAGCCTCAAAACAAGAAGGATAAACATAATGAAGTATTGGTGCCTGCACCTCCATCTTGATATTTGTCAATGTTGTTCCATCTGAACATATATGTGAAACACCTTAGAAACTTTTTCACATATGCTTACCCTTGATGAAATAGTTTAAGGAGGAAAAAATGAAATACTACAAAAGCATGCACATAGAAAGCATTTGATTCTAAGGAATTAAATCAAAATCTCAGCATATGTGCTCAACCGTACAACTAGCAACTAGGAACAAATGACTTGCATCATGATGCCCTGAAAGAAAGGTTCTCATATCCGGCTACTGCCACATGTTTCCCAAATCCAGAATGGATCTATTAAAATTTTACCAGTTACAAATTCAGGAACCATTCAGATCCAATTGACAATAAGTTTACCTAACAAATTCAAGAAGAATGTTAACTTTCTCAAGCCATCACTACTCTTGCCCAATCCTTGTCCTAGCAAATATGTAATTCTGTTGCATATATTTCATTATTTCTGATACTTGTTAAGTTTAATAGATTGACTATTTGATGGTTTCACTCGCAACACAGTATTCACCGGTCTAGGTTTAAATGGGCATGTGGACTAGGAATTTTTGGCTGGTCCAGTCTAGTAGGATAGTTACCGTCTGGTAACCAGCAGAAACAGGCTTGTCATTCAGTTTTTGCCTGTTATCGGACCTAAACCAGGCAGTAAGCCCACCCTCAATTAAAGCATTAGAAAGATCCTGTTCAAAAATAATCTAATTTAATCTTTTCTAAAGTTTTGACAGGCTTTCTTTACTCTTTGACTAGAAAGATCCTGTTCAATTCTAATTTAATCTTTTTCTTAGTTTTGGCAGGCTATGTTTACTCTTTTGACCCTTTTGAATGGTTCTTTCCCTCCTTCCTCGCCCTCACCCCCACGCTCCCCCCAACCTCTCTCTCTCTCTCTCTCTCTCTCTCACGACAAAGGACAGAACAACCATTCACATTACAAAAATATAAAACTTCAAAACATAAAGAACTGAAAGCAAAAAGGAACTAAATACCATCTTATACCAGGCTTATCATTTGGTACACACCTGTCCAACCCAGTAATGGTACACTTGTGTACCATGGTATCACTACCAACTACCAACTACCAACTACCAACCAAATACAATTAAACTATTATTAATTATTTATATGTGTAGCTTTTGATAAGAGTTCATAATAGATCCCTTCAAAACCCAATCTTGGCATGGAATGTGGCAATCCCAAGAAAGACAATAAGCCCATTGCAGGCCTAATTCTAACCCTACACATGGTGCTCTCTTCCGCACACAGTAATGTCCCCATGTGGCATCAGCATTTCATTACCATCCCAAGCACTTGCCTCTACCATGGCACCATCAACTTGTGGTTTCATCCAGATAGGTATAAGAACCCACAGTCCACCACATAGTACATAGAAATTTTCGTACACATGAGGTAAAATTATGGATAAAGATTCATTCCATTAACTCACACTTCCTCTGCAACTTCACTTCCCACTGTCCAACCTTGTTTAGCATCAAAAGGGGGACCCACTGGGAACATTTCCAACCCTCCCTTTTTTTTTTTTGTCTTGAGAGGTCATTGGTTCAAGGTCCAAAAGTGGATTAGATGTTCCACGGAAAGAGGCCCAGGTTACCTCTGACCATCTATCGTAAGGGACAACCAGATTTGACCAAAGCACTAATCGATACTTGTACCACACCAACTAATTCCCAAGGTTCGCAATACCGTACCATACCGGTATTTCGACCTGGGCTCGGTACCGGTATGGTACGGTATACCGAGCGGTACACCCAGGTGTACCGAGCGGTACACCTGGGTGCACCGAGTACTGTAGCAATGCTACAGTCCTACAGTAACTGCTACAGTACTCGGACCGGTAACAGTCGGTCCGCGTACCGAAAATCTGTCGGACCGGTACGTACCGCCCGTACCGGGCGGTACGGCTCGGTACGGCAAACCATGCTAATTCCAACCCTCCTTTTTTTCTGTCTTGAGAGGTCATTGGTTCAAGATCTTCAAGAGTAGATCAGATGTTTCATGGAAAGAAGCTCAGGTTACCTCTGACCATCCAACGTAAGGGACAACCAGATTTGACAAAAGCACTAATCGATACTTGTACCACACCAACTAATTCGAACGATCTAACTGGGTTCTTGTACTAATACCGAACTGAATTTTAATTTATTGGCAAGGGAAAAATTTCAGAGAACAAAAAAGAAGAAGAGCCTTCAACTAATTGGCAGTTGAAAAGCACCATAACTTGTTTGTTCATCATTCCATCACTTACAATTAGAACTTCAGATACCACTGAAAGGCATGGGGAGAGAAGTTGATGCATCTTATAATTTATATGGTTATGGGTTAACAAATATAAAAGTTTTTAGTCAAATCAACACAGTCCAATTCATTTACAACATTTAGGAGTGCATTTAAATGTGCCAGTTGGTCATTGCCTATAGACTTAAACAACCATCAATATACATCAACCCAAAGCAACAAGCTCAGGATAAAGTTGAACAGCCTATGACCAACCACACCCTTCGCTTGGTGGGCAACCAAACCATTCTAAAACAACATCAATTGGTCATCCAATCAGCACACATGCAGATTCATACCACTGTACCCTCACACCAAAACAACATCTCTAATAAAAAAATGAAAAAGAACAACTGAACATAACTGATTATTCAAATAAAGCATACCATATTGCCAAGCCACACAATGAATTAAATATTAAGAAAAAAAAAACAGCAACAGACTGCCATTATCTTACTAAAGACAAGATAACTAGCAAGTTGAATGAAGCTTAAATTTACTGATATAGCAATTTAGGCATGGGCCAAGAAATCCCACCTTGCAGAACATGAATTATCATATTGTTAAGAAAAATGAGAATAGTGCCTCTTCCAAACAGCAAACTTTCAGGTGTATTAATCAAGTCTCTAACATAATGAGCCACATCTTGAGATAACTGTTAGAGAAAATGAACATAATTGTCAATAAAGCTAGCTGTGCCAGTTGACAAAAATACACATGAAGTTCCTATTGGTGAGAACCAATAATGGAAGATTATGCCAAAATAATGAAAGAATCTTCATCCTAAAATGAAAAAAAAAGCATAAAATTCATGCTGGTGCAACATATTAACCAAAATTATTTACTGTTGAGAAGTGTGAATAAAGCAAGTGGCAAGCTAGAACATCAAGTTACTACAAGATGCAAAGCGAATTCACAATTTTATGATGAACATGCTTAGCAAAATTTTAGTTAGATGATCCTTTGCCGAAAAAAAATCTTAATCCGCATTGTCTACACATCTATACAGATACTCCTTCATTAAGTCTAAATTTTCATTGTCTACACTATGCTAGCCACAAATAGCACACGGCACTCATACTGGATACAATGCAATTTAGCCAACAGTGAAGCAAACTTCTAATTTTGAAGTTTGAACTAGTAATACACTTGAAAAAAAGCAGTAAAAGAGCATTGCATTTGTTTTGACTCTAAGAACAAAAATGACATTACTAAGCATAATAGAACTATTAAAAGCAGAACTTCATACCTTCTCCCACATGAACTGTGGCATTGCAATGAATACAGTCAAAATTGTACATCCAGGACGAATATAACCCTCCAACTCAACTGGCATATTTGCCAACCAATGGAATATCTGAAGAATTAAAGAAAAACAACAGCTTATGGTCTCACTCACAATTAAATGAATAAGCTAGCTTTTCTCAGCTACATTTCATGGAAAACGCAAAAGGATACTTGATGACGCAATCGTCTAGGAAATTCTGCAGGGTTCCAATCATAAAGCTTGAATGATATTCGACCTGTAGGACACTACAATAAAGTAATGCATCACAATCCAAACACATGTAACAATATGTTGACAGCAACATACATAAATCACCAACTGAAACCAGAATTTGTTAAAACCAAGAGATATCAAAAAGCCTACCACAGATGAATAAGTACTCTTGTTCTCACAAAAAGTAGAAGAAAGGGCAGACTTTGAATTAGTAATCTTTTCAGCTCTCTGAACTTCACAGGAAGTTGCTAACCCATCATTCTTAAAGCTGGGATGTGAACCAATGGGAGAACCTTGCCCACCTTCAGACTCTACTACTGTTCCTCTGGCCAGAACTTTGATGCTCACAACTGTCTCAGCTGTGTGGCATATAGAGTCATTCAACATTTCTAGAAAGCCATTAAATCAGAATGAGACAATAGAAAAGAAAGGCCAATTTTATGCTACATTAGAGTAAAAAAGGAAAACATGATAAACAAGAAGAATAGACTAACGACCACAAAACCTTTATTGATTATTGCCACTAATGTTAGTTACAACAAGATTAATCTACAATTCTACATCTTTGGTGCTGCTCAAACAAATCATGCCTAAGAAAGTAAAGTGAAAATTACAAGAGTGCTTAACTGAATGAGCTTGTACAACTATATTTCAATGAGATTGTTCAAGAAATATAGTCATCCAAAATGAAGCCGCTGATCTTTTGAACCGGTGTCTCTACCTATCAAGACAAGAAGGATGCAAGGTAAAAAGGAACAAAGTGGATCAATAAATGTAATGCTAGGAAATTTTAGGGTTTCACTAGGTATAATTAAATTAGAATAATAATTAATTAGATTAATAATTCTTATTAATCTAATTAATTAATTAGATTAATAATTAATAATATTTTAGGGTTTCACATGGTATAATTAATTAGATTAATAATTCGTATTAGATTAACAAGTAGATTTAATAAATAATTAAATTTAAAATAAAATATTACCTCTATGGTCCTATAATGAGTTCGGAGATTGGTAAGGGTGATATTGGAAAAATGGGGTTAGAGTTTTTCTATTTATGGAGACCCTCGCACCCCTCTTTCTTCTTCCTGGATTATGTCGAATCATCGCCGAGGATCGAGGAGCCCAAAATTAAAGAGAGAGAATGCTACTAGGAGGAGATTGAGAAGCTTCCATTCCGTTCTTTTATAATAATAATTACAAATGATTAATTACAAAAATAAAACAAATAAAATCTTTTCCTTTAAGGTTTTCTATCTTTAGATAATCTTAAAAGGATTATTAAAATTCATATAATAGTTTGAAGGAATATGCCTCTTGTGATTGTTGTCTCAGATTCAAGTCTTATTCAAGCATTGATTTGAAATGACAATTAGTTCAAATATGTTACTGTTAGAGGATTTATTTTAAGGATAGTTGATCAAATAGAGAGGGAGAGACAAAGCCAAAGAGTTGTTGTATCATGCATCACACATCTCGCAAGGTGTCCTAATCAGGTTTGCATGATCCATGTGCATAACTAGCAAGTGCACTGTGCACAAGCCTACAGCCACATATGTTTCATACATGATGCCTTAAACATGGCCTTAGATCTGATCATAATATACACACTTGGCCTTGGTCAAGACTTGGAAAATCTAAGAGGAAGCAGATTTATTTTATAATAATCACTTTTAATTATTATAACAATAATACAATATTATAAAAGAGGGAATTGAATCTTATCAATCTCCTCCCCGGACCATAGGGCTATGCTTCCTCCCTCTCTAACTCTGGAGCTCCTTGGTCTCAAGAAGGATGAAGCCATCAATAGTAATGACTCCAACACAATCTAGGACGAAGAAAGAGAAGTGTGAGGTCTCTTTAACTGAAAAAAAAAAACAATAACTCCTTTTTCCAACTACTAAATTTATGACATTAGAGGTAATATTGTCTCTTTAAATTTAATTATTTATTAAATCTACTTATTAATCTGAATAATAAAAATTATTAATCTAATTAATTTTACCTAGTGAAACCCTAAAATTACATAGTATTACAATAAATTACAGTTGCTTTAGGTTGGAGGAGAATACACACAAGCAACAACTATGATTGTATTGCTAGATATGATGCACAAAAAGAAGTGCAAAAGCAACAAGAACCAAGATTCATGGGATCAAGATTTGGATTTGGGATTAGCCATGGAATAGGGTCTGGATTGATTCGGATCGACCAGATCAGCTGGTTGGATCAAATCTATTCCTATTCCTGAATAACCAATAGTCAGCAAGGTTCACTAGAAACCAAATTAGAAAAGCATGATCAGTTGCAGAAACAGGGAATGAGAAGGATCAACCGATCAAGAACTAACCTAATTGCCAAGATCGGTCAAAAGTTGATAAGGATCTACATGAACAATTGGTGCAATCAGGATTGACCAACTAATCTGGATAAGATAGAACTCAGCCAGGTCAGATCAGAATACTGTACATTGTAGTTAAATTAATGCACAACTCTATTGCACTTAGTTCACACCTCCATATCATCAAAGTGACCATGTGTACAACAATCATAATTTGTTGCATTATTACTTCTGTTTTGGACTTGTAATGATTTGACAATATGTGTTGCCATCACAGTTTTACCATATTCACACATTATTTCTTTGACATAGACTTGTGAACAATGTGCATATCAGATAACACTTTTTCAATCATCATTAACGGAAAAAAATTATAAACCAAGCATGTTCTATTGATGATTCAAGTTTGCACCACTCTTCAGCTAGATTATTCTGATATTTATTAAGGTATACATAAAAAAAGACTTAGAACCACGAGAAATATGAAGCATCAAGTTTGCGAGCATTCTTTCAAGGTTAGGTGGACTCAGAATTACACATCTATACAAAGTGACCGCTTCCACTAATCAGTGTAACATCTATTTCACAAAAACAGATGTTAGCCACAGTGTTGCTACAAACCTAAGCATGTCACTGTCTACCATCTAATAAACCCAGAAACCAAAACATAACAAGATATCTCTAATACTTGAGAAGTAAGAATTAAACCTGTCAACGGTTCACCATCGCAAGTACCATCAGGCAGTGAGTCTTCTTGAGCTTCCAAATCTTTTTCCACTATACTGTTTGAATCATTAGGCTTTCTTCGTCTTCTTTTATTGTGCCGTTCTAATTTTCTCCGACAGCTACGTTTGCCCTCATCAAAATCTGGCAGAACATGAAACCTGGAAAACCAAAAGTTTGAACCATTAAAATTATAGGCTATAGCAAGAGGAACATAGTAAATGTCTGTGAGCATAGCAACTTAAGAACAACATCAGACTAGCTGAGAAAAAAAAACAATGTAATACAGAAGCTTTTACTTGATATTTGTAAAGATGTATTTAACAGAATGACTGAGATAGAAACAAACAAAATGACCAAATTTTATGGTCACCACAAAAACCAATTTTACAACATACCATACTGGAGTATAGTGCTAAAATTTGTCATGTATCACCACCAAGCAAATATAAAATTCTAAATATTTGTGCATCACAAACAGAAAAATTAAAACACCTACAAGGATCTAAAATTCTTAATTAACAAGTTGAGGATATATCAAGAATGTCTCTGAAATCTCAGAAATTAGGATGACCTTGCTAACATGATCAAAGTTAGTTTGAGCCAACACACCCATGTCATCTATTTTGAATTGATTATGCCATAGAACAAAGGGATAGAATAATTGAAAAAATAATAATGTGTAGAAGACTTGAATTAGATCACACCATTTTTTTCCTGGCTTGAGATATATGTTAAGGTTAGGTAATGTCTTAAATATCCTTTTTTAACATCTGCCAACCTAGAAACCTTAGGTTAACAGTATCTGCTTTGAAAATTAAAACCCAATAGATCTAAGTAGTCTTGCACCCCCTATAATTGGAAGAAAGCAGATTCAATTTGGAATTAATATTCTCCATCAAATTAAAGGTTAAAATTGTTTCAACTGCATTCTATCTGCCTTATGTCACCATAACATTGCCAGAGTAGAAGCAATAAAAGTTGTCAAAGTTGTGGAATTTTACTGTGGTCATGCACATAACATCAGTAATCTTTTTTTTACAATATTGGATTCAAAATGGTAGAACAGCAAAACCACTGTCAATATATTTCCTCCAGTCACGGTAAAATTGCTTCTTATGATCTAGGCAAGCAAAGTTTTAGTCATGAAAACAACCTCTCTAGTTGCAAATATAAGAATGTAAACATCGACTCTCCCTAAATCCTACATTGGCAAAAGCCTTGCACATGGGTCTGCCATTTAAACTACTCAGTGAATCTAACTGTCAATGCCAAACATATTATCCTATTACCTATAAACTTCTGAGTTACCACAAATGAAGAATCAACCAGAACAAAATTATAAGAAAAAAAAAACCAAGACGACAGAAGTGGAGGCAGTCAGTATGCACTCCACAGGAGACAATTATTTTCATCTTTTGGTGCCCAAAGTGATTACTGAAAATAAATTAGTAATAGTGTCTCTTGAAATTGAAAATATGGTCAGAATGGCACTATGGCAACCATAAGGTTTTTACCACAATAAAATGTTCTGAAATTCAAAATTGACTATTATGATCAGATAATTATATGCAGGAATTTTTTTTGAAATCGTCAACTAACTAGATGATCAAATCATAGCATGATGGCAAATACAAGATCACGAGGTTATTAAAAGAAACAAAATAGCAAGAATTACGCATACCACCCTCATTGGGAAAAAGAATATGTATGATGGATTATTCTTATGCAGGAAAAGTCTTACAGGGTTGCTAACAAATATAAAGCGTTTAACAGAAATTAATAGCAAGATCGACCATGTTGCAACTTACTTGCCACACTGCTGGCAATACCGCTTGTGCTCCCCATCAAGAACCACTGACGAAGCATTCGCGCAACGGAGACAAACCCTGTGACGCTTGTGATACCCCTTCAGCTCGCTGATATCCACCTCGCACCCGGGTACCTGACACCTCACCACGGGGGACGCCCCGCCGGTCCTGGACCGTTTCCTCGTCCCGGTCACCACCTCCGCCACCTCCTCCTCTTCCATCACCTTCTCATCCACCTCGGGGCAGGAGCACGGCACCATCCCGGCCAAATAATTTGGACAAACAAGTCTCGGGTCCCTCTTCCTCACCCGGCTCGTCCCATCCGGGGTCGTCGAGGGCGAGGGCGCCAGCTCTGGGGAAGGAAGCGGGGGCAGCTCCGCGGGGAAAGGTGACGACGGTGTCTGGGCTTCTTCGGTGACGCCCCAAGGTAGGATCAGGGGCTCGTCATCGCATATGGTGAAGTCGAGGAGGTTTCCCCAGTCCCACATCGGCGCCGCCGCGGCGGCGTCGTCGGCCGCCGGCGCAACCGGCTCCGCCTCCGAGGCCGGAGAGGTCTCCATCGGGGCGAGGCGGCGAGACGTAGGGAAGAGAGAGGGCTTCGCCGCTACCACGAGGTCTAGATTTGGAGGCCTGCCTCCGTAATTCGGGAATCGGAGAGACAAAAGAGCCTAATAAGCCCATCGGTGGTTTGGGAAGAAAAGGTGTGTGGGTCCCTTTCGGGTGGAATCTTGAAGCCTACGGTTTGGCCGTCCGAAAGGATGAGGTGGAGAACTCGCTCCGAGACCCAACAGGCTATCGAATCACACTCTCAGCGGGGTCCACTTGTCTATTTGGTGGGTAGATTATTGAGGGGTACATTAGTCTTTGTGACAAGTATAAACAAGGAATTCGATTTAGTCCAAATTATGCTTGATTAACAAATCAAATATATATTTATATGTGGATAGATTAATTTTCAATCAACACTACGAAATAAATTAATTGATTAAAATATTTCATTAAAATTTAGAGAGTTAATTGAGAAAAATATGAAATTTAGGGAATAATCCCCCCGCACAAAGTTTCGAAACTCTCGAAGACCGCCTCCGTCCTGTGTCTCGCTCAGCACAGGGAGCAGGAACATGACGTAAACACAAGCTCATTGGGTTAATCGCATCGGGGAAGAATCCTGTTCCCTATCTGTCCAAACTCGTGGACGCTACTACGTGGATCATCATGTCGACACCATCGTCCTTTTGGAGGAATAAGAAAATATGCTTTTACATATCTACCCCTAAACATTAACATATTGATATCTTTGGTATATCCTCTTCTGCTAACATCTATTTATAATATACTCCGATTAAGATACTGAAAATAAAGTTTTAATAACTGACCGTGTCATACATATGACAGTTTTGAATTTGCGAGGTTATTTAATTTAAACAAAAAATTAAAGTGCAGATAAAGAAATCATTAATTTCGAAGGGTTATATATGTAATTTAAGCAGTAAAATTATGGATCGGCGTGTGGCGACCACAACGTGATTTGATTAGGAAAGGACGAGTTTGTACAAGCGGATATGATTCTTAATGTAAATAAAATTACGAAAAAAGGCCGGAGTGTGTTGGGTGGTGGTGGCGGTGGTTGCAAGCAAGAAGTTGACAACCAAGTACTACTTCCTTCATCTCAACCTCAAACTCACCTGTCTTACTATTGGAGGAAACAGTGGTTCCCACCGTGGGTCCCGGAGTGGCCCTACTATTATCCCTAATCACGATGTAGGCAGGTGTCTTGTTTGACACTTCCTGGAGATTGATTGTAAGCCACTTTTAGTTTGATGATTGCAATTAGGGGCAAATAGTTAAGATATCATTTTCCAGTTTACTTTTTCCTCCGTATATTTATTTGGAAAATTATTTTCCAATTTGTAACCTTTTTTTCAAATTAATTTTCTGATTATATGAATAATAGCGTATATTATTGATATTACTTTTAAAAATGTGATATAGTAAGTATTTAAAATATATGAAACAATAGCATGCAATTTATTTTTGTTTTTTGAGAAAAGGGGGACTTTACTAAATAAAGAGATGACTTTGGTAGTTAAATCCACTAATCATCTTAGTGTTTTGGATTCTCTTGAATTGTATAATATCATAAAAGTAATATGTACTTAACTATTTTAAAATAAAATTTTAGATTACCATACAATAATAGTTCACAAAAGATCAACATCCACATAAATGTTTGCTCAAACATTTAGCACTTAACTAAGGAACCTTTTTCTGGGACATCTGCCTTCCATAGCAACCTTTGCAATCAATCTTCCATCGTTAAGGCAAACATTACATGGTTTGACTTCTAAGGAAGCACTTGTGGAGTAGAGAAAACACAACCTCAAATTAAGCTTGTTTTTAGTCGTATTCGGTCAGTGTCAGTGATGATCCCAAGCAATTATATCAATAAGACGGCCGACGAACACAGGTTCATGAACCTGATGGATGACCATCATCAAGTAATCCAACCACAGCTTCACATCACAACTACTTCCCATCTTATTGATAATATTTAATCCAGAAACCATCACCGGATGTAAGAAAGTTCCTCCGGGCAACAAGAACAGCTGAGCTTTCCTGTAGGAGAAGATAGATATATCAACAAAGGAGTCCTTCCACACTTCTTGGCAGCATACCCGATGGGCTGCCAAAAATGCAGAGGTGAGGACACTCGATTTCTTGACGCCCCCAAGACATAATTTAGCTTTTATGGATAACGTTGAAGACCAAAAATGCAAGATGAAAGCCAAATGAAGCAGCAAATTAGAACATCAGAACTGGAAACCAAGTTTATGATAAACTGGAAAACCCTTTCAGAACGTACACTCACACACACACAAAAACAGGGGAGGTTGAATAATAAAGACATAAAGATATCTCAAAGAACGAAGACGATGTGAAACAAACATAGCATGGAACGTGATGGCAGAATTGGAGAAACAGACACTGTAACGTAATAAAGTCCAAGTCAGCTTCTTTATATCTGTAATGTAACTAATCATCCATCTGATTTTGTGATATATTTAGTTTAATTTATCTTCTAACATAAAACCATTGGCATCAGACTGAACCAAAAAAAAATTGTTAGTTTTATTATAAATAACCAATTAATAATATAATTTTCTTCATGAAATATATAGATAATTTAATAATATTTAATTTGAAGCAATTTAAGTTTTTGGATGGATTCAACCAATTAAATTGAATGAGTTTGAAAATGACGTAAAAAGAAAAAAATAATAATTGAGGTTAGTTTTGTCATTTTAAAAAAAATTAAAAAAAATCAATATGAGTACTGAGCTATCAAAGGAAAATCATTAATAATAATAATAATAATAATAATAATATTGGCTACTGTGTTTAATGTTCTTTCGTCCATTCGGATGGCTCTCTCGATCTGATGCGATCGCGACCAGAAGACGAACAAAAATCGGTGGGAGGAGGAGGAGGAGGAACGGGGGAGATGGCGGTGCAGTGGGTGCTAGTGGTACACGTGGTGGTGACGATGCTGGTGGTGGTGTCCCTCCTCTGCGGCCACTGGCCCATCTTCAGCGGCACCTTCGTCGAGAAAATCCACTACTTCCTCACCTTCGGCGCCTACGATTACTTCCTGTGAGACCCCCCTAAAGATCGATTCTTTCTTGAACTTTTGATACCTTTATTTAGGTTTCTTTATCTCGTTTTCTGTATTAATGGAGTCTGGATTGAAGAGAAGTACAGGTTAAGTTGATACGAATGCTTGCTTCCCTTTTTTTCCTCCTATTTGGGGCTTAAATATGTAGAATTGCTTGAAATGTTTTGCAAGGGAAAGCAAGTGCTGGCTTTTGGTTGGACCCCCGTTGAACGAAAGCTGTCGAGCTGGACCCTTTTCTAATTCTTTGGCCATTGTCCTTGGATGCAAATGGAAATGATGACATGGGAAGCAAAGCTATCTGAAATCTGAGGATTCGTAGAAACTAGGGACTGTTCGGAACTTCAAATTAAATGGTTCTTGAGAATTGTTCTCAAGCATGTCTCTTGGGGGGAGGGATTCTATCTTGCCTTGAAACTTAAAAGGCTTCAAATGGTTATTGAGAGAGGGGTCGAAGGCCGCATAGGGTCTGGGCAAGGTGGTAGTGGGAAGGTAGGATAACCCCAGGTGACCTCTGCTCGTGCTGTCAGTTCTTTTAGGAGGAGGGTGTGGCTGTTCCCCAGCTTACAGATTAGGAGGGAGAGGGTATAGGTGGCAGCGGCAGTAGTCTTCATGAAGGTAGCGGTGGGCTTAAACAAGAGACCAACCACAAAGTTGGGCTGCCTTAAAGAGGTGATGGCGATGAGATGGATCACAAATCCAGTTGAGAACAACTCTGCCTAAGTTGGCGTCCATGATATGGGGCAGCTCTCAGCGTAGCAATTTTGATGGAATGGCTCACGACTCCTGTTGGGAACAACTTTGAGATATGATGGATTGTGACCCCTGGTTGAGAGATGTAATGACTTGCAATTCTTGGTTGACAGACGTGATGAGCCGTGACTCTTGGTTGAGAGAGGCAATGTGCTCCTACTTCTGGTTAAATCTGAGAACATGGGAACGACTCAAATTTGTTTGCAGTAAGTGATCACTATTGTTAGAAAGTAGGTTTCAAAAACAATTCTCAGATGACTACTACTGGAAACAATTTATTTTTTTCTGAAAATTAAAATAGAGTTCCTTATAACGACTGAACAGTCCTTTATTTTCTAATAATTTATTAAGAACTGAACAGGTTTCTGTCCGACTGTTGCCATGGGTACAAAGCAATTAGGAATTAGCATTAACAAACATTCTTCTCCTACTTCACTTGGATAGGATTAAATACATCTATTATTTGTTTCTTTGCTATGACTTGGATACAGAATGCTGTAAGCAGTCCGTTAGCTAGTAATTTAATGTGTCTGATGACGCAAAGTTGCAAACTAACTAATTTTACTTATATCTACCATGGGCCAAGCGAAGTGGTGTGTCACATCCCTTGAGAATATTACAATTCAGAACATGCATTGTTTCAGATAATGGTAATTCAGCAGGAAGATAGATCAAAGGATATCATTTGATAATGGACTCCAGATTTGACATAAAACGAGCATCATATAGAAAATCCATTCACAAACTTTTATCTAAGATCTCAACCATTCTTTCTTTTACATTTGCCACATGTATGCCATGTTCCTAATATTTGATGGCACTTCTTCTTTTGATATATATTTTGTAGACTAACTGTCAGTAAAAATGTTTTTTTCTAAATCATTTGTTTCTTTATTGGTGGCACCACAAACTTTTTTGTTTATAAGGGACTTAGTTCATTCTTAGTGCATTCTAATATCAGAACTTGAGCATCTTTTATTTTTTTTGATATTTTTCTCACTGGGTAAATGTGTTTTTCATCTTAGGTTTGGATCAAATATTTACTAATAGTGAAAGTAGGAAATGGTCATTTATTACTTAGCATTGAAGGTTCAGAAATCAAGAAGTTTTCTGATCTTTACTGGTGACCTTACGTGGTTAAAAAATTTTGCTTACTTCGTATGCTTAAAGGATTGCATGCTCACCCTTTGAGCTAACCATCCTCTCACTTTCTTGCAGACGATTTGTTGTAGCGGTATTTGGCTCTAGCGGCAGAAATTGCTTTGTCACAGTTGAGCATTATTGTTGTGAACGGCCAAATCCAATCTTACAGGTACCTGACCTCTTTTGTTCTCAATTTTTCCTTCACTACCTTCAGTATAATATGCACTCTTTAATTCCTTAGATATGCATGAACTTTCCTAAGCTCTTGAGTTGTTTCTCTTTTTTAGATGTTGGTGATATCAAGGAACTAAAATAAATCCAGTCACGTTATTGAATCTATTTTATATTGTTATCGCTTTAATATATTTCTCATTACTGTTTCATGTGCTGCCTACTTATAATGCACTGATTCTTGGGTGGACTGATACATTGTTGTCCTGACTGGTACAAGTGACAATCATATTACCACAGGAGGCTTGGTGCACCCTTTGCAGAATCTGTAATACCATAATGGTTGTAGTGAAATGGCACATATCAGTCTGTAGTGGCTCTGAGTAATTGATATGGAAATTTTTTATTTTACAGGTGAAAAATGCATATTTTGTGAGACCTTCTGGAAATCATTCTTGATCGGGACTCTGTATGATATTTCTAGGTTTGTGCTTGTTTACACTTGTTTTTCTTTTAAATTTTAGGCCAGAACAACCCCAATTGGTTTTTTCCATCTTAACTGTGGTTATTGTCCAGCATCAGCCCTTGTGATGTTGGTTAGACTATGGATTCAAATCTTGATCGTAGTGGTTTGTACGTTTGGTTTTTATTGATCCAAGGACTGGGCTGATCGATATGTGAATCTTTGCTGGTACCTGTACTCATCCTTCTTTTTCTTTATTCCTTTCTCTTCCTCTGTTGCTTTTTGTCTCCTCCTCCCTTCTGCATCACCACCTCCTTTCTGTTGCCCCTGGTGTAAACTCCTTGCACATTTGTGTCGCATCACCTCCCATCCACCGCATAGTACAACTCCTCTGCCTCCTTCACTTCCTTCTCCTCTCGCTGTATATGTTGGTTATGATCTGTAACAACCTGAATTGACATCTAGCACATTGTATGTTACTGGTACTGTACTAGTTTGGTGGACAATTGGTACTAGTTCTGGACTGAGATTTTGATTTATGGTTTGGACATTTTTGCAACTAAGTGGACTCATCCGATATCTGTCCAACTCAGTCAATTCCATTTGAAACTAACTGATCCTAATATTGGCTGATTCAATTTGGATTGGCATGGATCAGCAGAAATTGCTGATTTCAGTAAAATTGAGTTTGGAGCCAATAATGCAATTGACTCAATTGGCCATCAGCAACAATATTCAATAAAGAGGATTTAAGACAGAGTAGGAGATGTAAGAATAAGGGGAAGAAGCAAAAGAAAATAAGTAGAGGCAGAAGAAGAGAAGGAGAAAAGGAGACAAGGAATGTGGAGCGAATAGAGGAGATAGAGGTGAAAAAGGTATAGGAAAAATAACTAATTCATTAAGAATATGTTTTTATAGATAATTTCTTGCTACCACTTGTTGTGTATGATTGATAGATAGAGGACCAAAGAGGAGGATGAAGAAAAAGAGGTGATAGTTTTCACATACTATATTCCTATAAAAGTCTGAAATTTTGAACTAATCCTTGCAAAGCCTGGAATACCATTTTCATGAAAATGTTGGATCTTTAGGATGTGCGTATTTTCATAAGAATACAATATACATGTGCACATGTCCCAGAGATATTTTTTTGGTCTTTGAAAATTGTAAATTCTGCATATCCAACTTGGGCAGGTTGAAATTCCATTCTGGTGACTCAATCCAATTTCCGTGGCTTATGCCACTGATTCAGATTCTGTGAACCTTGATTTCATATTTGATCTATGTTCAGAATCTTCTTCATAAATCAAGTCATCATGTGCATTATTTATCGAGTGTCACCTACTTAACTAAAAATAAAAAGCTCTACTACCAAAGGCATATATCCATATCTGAGCCTTCTTTGGTTGAAGGGAGCCATCATCTGCTTCTAATAGTATGAAGGTACACCAAAAAGAGTTCAGTGTGAAATTTATCTACCAAATGCATGTAGTTGTTTCACAATTTTTGAGGGAAACTGAACCACTACTGTCATTTATGGAATTATAAAATCAAGCATCTAGATAGAAATCTTGAATGAGATGATATAACTGTTAGCTTGTTTTTGCTTGAAAATATAGGTGGAAGTAAGCTTTCACAGTAGTGGTAAGATTTGAATAAATTTCTTTTTTGCCATGTGTTTGATTAGGCTATTATTGGAAGCAAGGACTAATTTTGTTTTTGTTCAATGAATTCTGGTCCACATATTCTCATATTTGTTTTCTGAGTTGTTAATTGCTTTAGTTTAGTAAATTTTAGTATCTGCTAGTGCTAGCTGACCATTGCCAATGACGGCATATTAAGATGAAAAGAATGTTTCTTTGCTTTGGTAATTTCTATTACAGTGACCATGAACATGATATTTGCAGATATTGTATCTGGTCATCCTTGGTGTGACATACTATATCATTGGAAAGTCGTCCTTCAGATACATTCCTGGTTATTATGTCAGTGAACTTCACTGGTAATATCTGTAGTACCTTTTGCAACTAGTATGATGACATAAAGCTTTCTGAGTTTTCTCTGCAGAAGAAATCATATCTTGCAGGTACACAAGCATGATAGCTGTAGGTGTGGGTGTTCTCCTTTTTCTATTGACTAGCTTTTCGGATCCTGGAATTGTGACAGCTGAGAATGTCTCCAAATACATCTCTGCCTTTCCTTATGATGAGATCATATATGTGGAGAAAGAATGTTCAACTTGCAAGATCCTAAAGTGTGATTATGGTGTTTGTGCTACTATTTCCATTGCACTCTCTTTGCATTCTATATTACCTAACAGGAGTTGCACTAAAATGCAGACCTGCTAGATCTAAACATTGTGGTATATGTAATAGATGTGTTGCCCGATTCGACCACCATTGCGGTTGGATGGTTAGCTCTTACTCTATAACATTCCTTGACATCATAGTCTTGCTTGTCCGACAATATCTGTGCCACTTCTAAGAATAGTTGTGCAATATTAGATGCTTTAACTTGGTTTATCTTAAAATGCAGAGTAGTTCCATTTGTGACAAAAACACCTGCTAACATAGTTCATTTGGAATGCAGAATAATTGCATTGGTGAGAAAAACACACGCTACTTCATGGCCTTTCTTCTCTGGTTAGTATTTACCTAACTGGTGTTGGATATTCTGGGATCTTGTATATCAGCCAGTTACTTCATACATAATCTACATTTGAAACAGTCTTCTCTGCTGGACAGCCTAATTACTTTTTCTTTCTCGGATAGTAATCTTGTTTCTTCTATTTGCTTATTGCAATATCCATACACACTTTTTTCACTTCATGAGTTAATGAGATCTGCTACATAATCTGTTGGTGTTGAACAAGCTATCCCTTACAACAAAGGTTCTTTTTAATAATTTGCTGATTGAACCTTCTTTCACAACATTGCTTCATTCTTGACTAAGTTGCCCAGTGAAATGTTCATCATTTGTTTAAGTTCGTTGGCAAATTATGCATCTCCACTAGTTCTTATTCAAGAAACTTTAAGTTACAGCAGATTTTTCTGCTGCTTTGCTGTAAATATTTAGTCTATTTACCTTAGGACATATTATACCAATAACTTGTTCTGGGCCAAGTGTTAATGATGACGGGATAGACAAGGAGAGGGGAAGAAGGAAAAGAGAAAGTGGAGAAGAAGAGGGGAAGATGCAGTGGAGAAGAAGAGGAGTAGAATACCGGTTCTACCATTTAGCGGGCCTGGAGTGGCGGACAGCAGTGGATGGCATGAGAATCCTACTTGCTTGAGAGAGAGTTTATTAGGCTTTAAAGAAAAAAATTGGTTGTTTCGTTTGGTTCACAGGCTCATGGGGAGGAAGCCCTATTTCACCTGTGAACAGCCCAAAATTGCACAATCCATGTTCTGGTCCATGGACGAACTGGTATGTATCGGTCCATTCAGTTTGTTGATTCTTGGTCAAGATCAGTCTTGTGACTTCCTCAAAATTTTTCGGCCATTATTACTCAAGGTTTCTTGTTTTATGAAAGACATTTTAGTTCCATGACAACGCGTTATGATAACACATAAGTTTGTTATCTTCCCTCCTCTCTGTTTCCAGCTTATTGCTAAATACTTTGTCAAAATGTTGGCTTTTTTATTCCTCTTTACTAGCATAACTCCTAACAAGAATGAGGTCAAAATTACAATCTCAAGCATTTGTCTACGGACAAATTGTTGTTGCGAACTTGCCAACCAGTTGCCTATTCTTTTGATGTAGAAGTTTGTTTGTTTACATTTTAGGCATTAAGCTTTTCATCTATTTGTTGTCTTTGTCGTCATTTGTTTTCCGTGGATAAATATTTTTAATCTACTCAAATGTGGAACATTTCGGCATTGGCCATCCCTGGCTGGTGAAAAGCTGAACATTCTAAACTTTCTGTAGTATTGCTTTACTAAATGTAAGTGTCAATTCCGTTTACATGGGGGTCTCCACTACAGAATCCTCTTCTTTTTAATCTGGTGAACTTGCAGGCACTTTCTTATTTGTCTGTACGGAGCAGTTCTTCTTGGATTAATACTTGCTGGCCAGTTGAAAGAGCACAATATAATATACATTCTAACTGGTACTATGATGTTTGCTTAATCCATTTGGCTTGTATGTCAAGTTTCTGTTGTGTTTACTTGATGACCCATCGTTTTCAGTTTATTATGGCGTTGAGCATTCCTTTTCCAGACTATCTCCACATGTAGTACAGGTAAGATTTGACTTTTATTTTTTCCCGTGATCTATTGAGTTTCTTGTTATGAAAATTTCTGTAAAATGATAATGGAATATTACAGTGGCTGCTGGGTTCTTATAACACACAAATACTTCTAATAATGTTTCTGGCTATAATTTCATTGTTGCTGGCTGGGTTTTTTGGATACCATGCACATCTCTGCCTGACGAATACTACTACAAATGAGGTTGACTCCTCTCTACCTTCCCTCCAGCAGAAAGTTGGTCTAAGCTAATTTCTGACAGATGCTTTATGTTTTTGAGCTAGCAGACTTTTAAGTGGCAAGACTACATAAGCTGGAAGAGGAAACTGAATGAAGCCAAGGCAAGTGCTGCAGCACTGAAGGCCAGCATACAGACAATCACTGGAGAAGCAAAACCTCCTGAAAGCAAATGGAGGGCTTTTTTCCGCAAGTCTCCACTGCAGACTGAAGAAGTGATTGTTAAGAATAACTTGTATGATCGGGGAATAATCAGTAATGTCTGTGAGATCATTTTCCCTCCATCTGCCAGGAAGTCATTTTCTCATAGGAAATCAGAATAAGAGTGTTGTTGTAGATTCTTTTTCTTATATGATAGATAAAGTTATCACCTAATGTAAATTTCTCTCTTTATTGTCTCAACATTCCCTTGAGGCCAGTCATATACTACAGAGATTGTAGCTTGTTGGCAATTGAAACAGTGTCTCAACATATTGACAAAATTGATATGCTATCTTGTTAAGAAGTTGGAATACAGTTTGCCATTGTGTCTGTTCATACGAAATATTTGGAATTTAGAAGTACTGCAGAGATTGATGGTGAAACCTAGGAATCCTTCTAGCAAAACATCCAACTTCTGACTAGTGAAGTCCAGTTTGAAGCCAACTGATTTTTCTTTAAGGGTGTCCAGCCTTTGAGATTTTAGATGGTACATGGGAATGACTAATGTTCCCAAATCCAGTTTATGCTTTTCAAGTGCATGGGTTCTATTCCTTGGAATAAACACAAGGGTAGATGGAAGTGCCAAAGGAATACAAGGTGAGTAGTACTTGGAGATCTGTTCTTATTTCCAACCATTTCTTTCTAAGGTCCCTAGAATTCCTTTACCCTTGTGAGTAGGATAATATTTCTTCTTGCCATTATATTTTCAAAGAATGGTTTATTTACTTTGATGCAGTTGTCAGCAAGGATTAGTAGAATTTAATGAGGGATCATTTCCAAAAAAAGAACCATCAGTGGAACTTACTGATTTACCTTTAAAACCCCCCAGTTCTTGGATTATTTAAGCTTTCATTTCATCTTGTGGATGAGCTTCTGCATCAGTAAATTGGAGGTGGCACATCCATCAGATCTATAAAGCCTTTGTGAAACTAAAAGAAAAAAATCTGACACAACATGAAGTAATGCACATGTAATGCCAGTTTGAAACTGGGGATTGATTTAGCATGCCATGGCTCAACTCTGTGCTGTTCTTTTCCTTTGTTTAAATGAAAGAAAATGACAGCTATCCACCAAACAAAGACACCTTGTTGCTCACCATTATTGGCATTTTGTATGGTTCAAATTGTTCTGCTGCCCTTTTGTCTGGCATGACACTGGTGAACGCTCTATTAATTTCACCCTAGCAAAGGACAACTTACAAGAAATAAGCCAAGAGTATTGGTGTACAATTTGACAAAGATTTGTACATATAAAAGTATGTGGTTTACCAGCTAGAATACAACTGAAAGGCTTTCTTTTATAGCTTTTGATTCAACAATGATATATGTACAAAAAGGCAATGCCAAAAATAAGTACATGTGCTCTGCAAAAGCTCTAGATTTGCTAAAGGTAAAATTGGGGAAAAAGAACCCACTGTATGTGAAACACTCAGGGAAATTATGCGGGGGAAATCGGCCGATGGCATCGATATACACTGAAGCTTCAGGGAAATTCATCTGAGAAAATGTGTATCATCTGAATAGCTTCAGTGTGTTATTGGTAATATCGGTGTGCTGCTTCTGACGACATGCTTTCGGCATCGCTGAAATATGCCATCATACAAAAGATCAAATTGTACTCCTGCTCTCTCCCGATTTACTATGAAAAAGATGTGATCAGCTTCGATGATTTTGTAGTACCTGCAAGAACAAATTTTGCTTGATACAAATTACCTATGGAATCAGTTGTTAATGCAAGCCAAAATGGTTTATGTTTGATAAAGATAAAAGAACTCGAAAAGCATTGTTTATGAAGAAAATCAAACAAATGAAACTAAAGTATGACTTCTACAGCTGAACACAATGATTTTTAGTATAAAAAGCAGTAATGCTTGTAACCATGCTTCTACCTGCACAACTTCTGTGGAATTTATCATACCGATGAAATTCACTGAATCGCAAGTTCTAAACTAGTTTAACTTGCATGGCTATTGTTCAATCTTTCCCCAAAGACAGATTCACAGAGAGAGAGAGAGAGAGAGAGAGAGAGAGAGAGAGAGAGAGAGAGAGAGAGAGAGAGTTGAATCAAGAATTTACATGTAAGATAGATTGGATGATATACTGGAAATCTTCAACAACTTAAAACTACAATGGGTAGAAGTGGCTTACTCTAAGGTTACAGAAGATCACTTGGATGCTGCAATGTTGTACAGAAAGGTAAAGCTGTGTACTTTGGCTTTCTAAGATTGTGGATTTATGGAAACATATGATGCTATCATGAAAAAAAATGATGATGAGCAGGACTACTAACCAAATTCCTGGTTGCAGAGGATGGCACTTTGAGTCATCCACAACAAGAAGGCTTGGATGTTCAATAGGTAGGCGAGGATGAGTCATGGATATTGTGTTCAGGGCTCCATCATTGTCTGCCCAATCTTCATCCCTGTGCCAACACTCCATGATAGATCTCACATGAACATTCAAATATGAAAATCTACTTATCAAGAATTTCCATCTCTGGGTCATGAGTCCAAGTAGCAAGAAGAATCACGAACCTGTATCCTTTATAGGGTGGTGATGCATTGGTAGGGAAATGCCACTGGCACATCTGCAACACTCTAACAAAGAGCAAGGGATGGATTCCCAAAATGCTAGAAGGAACAGTCAATCCAAAAATCCTTCTTGTCCTCTTAGTTGCATAGCTGAAATAGAATGTGTTGGGGAAGGTACACAGTCGGGAGTTGAGCTCAAGTGAACCTTGCAGTGTGAGGTCAGGAAGGATCCAGTCGCCAGAAGCGAAAGGCCCGGTGTTACCCAGGAGTAGATCAGCTAGACCTGTAATGCCAGTTTTTCTCCACCCCATCTGAAAATGATCGAATCCAAAGTTGTAGTAGTTTTTAAACCAAGCAATGTCAAGCCAGTCATAAACTATGACTCCTAAGCGACAGAGCTGAAGCAGACATATCGGTTTCATTGATCTTCCACACTCAGGCCTGAAACAAAATTCATGAAGAATTCATGAACAACTGTTTGTGTGTTGAATTCGCCAAAACAAAGCGTGTACTTACTGCATCCCATCATAGTATGTTCTAGTGGTTCCATTGAGTGCACCAGAGAGGGAAGTAACACTCATTACCCAGTCCTCAGAAGTGTTATAGCCACTGAAGGCCTGTCCACAACATACATGTTCTTGATTGCCTACTATTGCCAGCAATAAGATGAGAGAGAAATGAAGTGAATCAAATGGAGCACCTTATCGGCAAGCATCTGCTGCAACACCCTGATGACCTGCACGCCTGCCGAATGCCCAACAAAATGGATTGGATGTTGTTCATCCCATGAAGGATAGTGCCCTGCACCCCAATCAACACAGCAAAGGATGAACAAAATATGAAGTTCTGAGGCCTAATGACCATGCCATTCGACATGACCACATCATCGATTACAATAAGGCAAAGATTTGCTTCTACCTCACCTTGTTCATAGATTTTCCCAAATTGTGAGTGCCCAAAAGTTCTGCTATGCTCCTCTCCATAATCCACCTGCCCTCCTTTCAAATAGTAGAACAATTCCCTTGCCCTGGAATCATAGAGCACAGAAATTTTGTTCTAGCGGATAAAATGATTAGCTCTTAGCCATGGAAAGCCTTCCAATCCACTACAAACACATTTACCTGTCATGGATGCTGGTTAAGGATCCCAAATCCGGCACCAGAACACGGTCATCCTTCTTCTCCGCGCCGGCAAAGTAGGATAAACCTCCAAGCCTCTGCGATCAAGTGACGAACAGGTGAGCGCCATTGCAAGAACGGAGAGACACGCTTAAGCATTCAAGAGATGCCGCATGGACAAGCAAAGAATACCCCTTTGCCGAACCCGAAGATCCCATGCACCAACACGATCGGCGGCGGCGAGCCCTCTAACACTGCGACCTTTTCCTTCGTCGTCCTCTGCTCCTCCATCTCTTTGGCTCCCAGGCCGAAAACGTTGGGCTTGAGGCAGTCCGTGAGGACCTGAGAAAGGTCGGATGCCACCGCGGTGCTAAATATGTAGAAGCCGAAAAGCACATGCACTGCCGTGCTGACGAAGAGCTCGGTCAGGCCGAGGACGCCGATCGACAGCCTCGCCATTTCTCCTCGAAGATTCCTACTCTCTGTCTCCCTATGCAAAATCCCACCTTTCCTCTTCCTCCGCCCGAAAACAAGGTTTTTTAGGAACGAATGGATCGAGGAGAGGAGGAAGAGCGAAATGAACGAAGGGTAATAGTCCTCCTCCTCCTTTGCTTCCTCCTGCTATTCTCTCAAAGAATCCTACAAGATATATCTAGATGAAGCACCTCCACCTCCTCCTTGAAATGAATGGATTGAAAGAGAGGAGGAACAGAGAGATGAAAGAACTCTTTTTTCTTCCTCCTGCTTCTCTTTCCTCAAAAGAATTCTACAAGATATCAGTCGATAAAGCACCACCTTGAAATGAATGGAATAAAGAGAGGAGGTAAAGAGAGATAAAATAACTCCTTTTTCTTCCTCCTGCTTCTCTTTCCGCAAAGCCTCCTCCTCCTTCTCCTCCTCCTCCCCACAACAAGGACTTGTGGCAACGAATGCACTGAAGAGAGGATGAAAAGAGAAATGGAAGATGGCTAATGGACTTCCTCCACCTCTGCCTCCTCCTCCTTCCTGCCGTTCCTCTCCCTCTCTCCTATCACATCACACAACATCTTTTACCTTTGGGATAGGAAGGAGAGAGAAAACTATTCCTCCTATTCATAGCACATCCATGGGAAGCTAGGAAGGTGGGAGGAGAGAGACGACTACCTTCTATATATAGCACGGCCTTTGGAGGGTGGGAAGCTAGGAAACACGCACACCTTCTGCCACAATCCTTACAGCAATCAACCATTCTCTCTCTCTCTC